AATCTTATTTCTCGATGAGTTATTTCATGAACGTAATAGTCACCCCATAGGTCACACTAAGGTTACGAATTTTAGCCCAGTAGCAAGGGAATGCGTAAACCGCATCAGATAACAGATAATTCCCGGGAACCGAATGCACCTAACACTGCCATAGGCTACCGGCCAAATACAGATGTGCCAGTACAGATTTCAGAAGGGCCAATACAGAAGGGCCAAATAAAGGTGCATTCACCATATGGCAGGCAGAACCAATCCATAGTGGACTATTTGAGGGTTTGAAAACATCGAGATCACATGTCAAATGAGAAATACTTTGCATATCAGAATTTGCATATATTTCAAATGAAATTGACAAGGTAAAGCTACTCATTTCAGTTAAAGCAGATTACAGATATTTACTTTTTCTTTTATCAGATACTAAGTTACGGCAAATCTTTGAATCCGTTAAACTATTGAAATACGTTCCAACATTTCATCAAAAACTTTCAGATATAACAAAGTCCACAATTATTTGAAAATTGCACGAGAGCCAAATTTATTTTTCCATATTTTACATAAATTCAAATTGACTTTTCATATATTGTACGAGGCTACCATCATATTATAGGATAGACCACAACAGAAATAGGTCAAATCTTTATATACATGAAAAGACATATTATTTATTTATTTATTTTTATCACAAGATAATTCAAATATAAAACTCATGCAATTTCATATTATAAAATACTAGTGAGAAATGAACTCACCTCTAGTGGTCACGATTTTCTCAAAATATTAGTCTCCCGAATATCAACCAGAACCTATAATATAAGATATATGACTAATTATTGATTCAGAAAAAACATATATTATAGGTAAATCAATTCAAAATCTGGAGCCTAATAATTTCAAATATAATCAATAATGATTAAATTCTACAGTACATATGAGCATTTTGTTAGTTTTAGCAAAATTTTATAACTCTCATATACTAGCTTCTGGACCTTTTAATAATTTATAATAATGCAGGGGCTTAATAAATTTTTTCCAATCCCTTTTTCAAACTATAAGGTTTGTTTCAAAAAGAATTTTATGGTTCAGGGGCTAATTGTAAATTTTCCTTTCCTCTATCAAAACTCCAGACTCCAGATCATTCTTCCTCCTCCTTCCTTCTTCGTTTCTTTTTCTCCTCTTTTTTTTTCCTCTTTTTTTTTCGGTTCCCCCCTTTCGGTTTTCCTCTCCTCTCATCTCTCTCTCTCTCTCTCTCTCTCTTCCCCTCTCTTTCTCTCCGTCATGGCTGCAGGATGGCGACGAGGAAACCGTCGGCGACCCAAAACCGGCCGACAACGAGAAACCCCCCTCCCCAAAACAAGGTTAGCTTATTATTATTATTATTATTATTATTATTATTTTTAGTTTATTTCATGCCTCCTAAACATAGAAATTTGCAAACCTTAGATTCTTTATTTCACATTCATAACAATTTAATTTCCCTTATTCATTCTATTTTGATTGATTTACTAAGATTTCTATAATACTTTACTCTTCTAAAACAAGAAATTAACATAGAAAAGAGTTTATACCTTTGGGTCACTTGAAAATTAGATGAAATCCTCTGTTTTCTTGTTCACTGTCTTCTTCCTCTTCTTCTTCTTCTTTTATTTCTTTTCACAATTTTAATTTGGGTTCTCAGAGGGTTGGGTTGAAGAAGGTGAGGTGATATTTCTCTGTGTTGTTTTTTTTCTTAATTTGGGTTCTCAGAGGGTTGGGTTGAAGAAGGTGAGGTGATATTTCTCTGTGTTGTTTTTTTTTCCTGTGATTTTTCTTTGATTTTCTCTATTTTTCTCTGTTTTTATTCTCCCGTTAAGAGGTGCCGGCCAAACAAACGAATGAAATTTAGCCACAAAATCATTAACGTGGCAATTAATCAGGGGTTAGGGTAAAATCCCTAAAATACCCTTAATTAATTCCTAATCTGTAATAAAAAAACTCTATTAATCAAGTTTTTTTAAGGCACTAAATATCTGGGTTACTACACTCTTCCCTCCTAATAAAAAGTTTCGTCCTCGAAACTTAACATACCTATATTTCGAAGAGCTCTGGATATTTTTCTCGCATAGAATCTTCAGTTTCCCAAGTAGCTTCTCTTTCAGAGTGATTCTTCCACTGAACTTTCACATATTTGATTATTCGGTGTCTAAGTGCTTGTTCTTTATAATCCACAATATGTTCTGGTCTTTCCTCATAGGTCAAATCTGGCTTAAGCTCCACTGGAGATAACTCAACGATCTCATTTGGATCTCGGATGAACTTCCGAAGCATTGATATGTGAAATACATCGTGTACTCCAGACAGGGCTGGTGGTAATGCTAGTCTGTATGCCACTGGACCAATATGCTCTAGAATTTCAAAAGGACCAATGAATCTCGGGCTTAACTTTCCTTGGATTCCAAATCTTTTCACTCGCTCTAGAATTTCAAAAGGACCAATGAATCTCGGGCTTAACTTTCCTTGGATTCCAAATCTTTTCACTCCTCGGGTAGGCGAAACCTTTAAGAAAACATGATCGCCTACTTGAAATTCTAATTCCCTTCTTCTTTGATCAGCATAACTTTTCTGACGACTTTGTGCCGTGCGAAGACGTTCTCGAACTAAGTGAATTTTGTCAATTGCTTGTTGTACCAACTCTGGTCCAAGAAGTTTTCTTTCTCCAATATCATCCCAATGAATAGGAGACCTACACTTCCAAGAAGTTTTCTTTCTCCAATATCATCCCAATGAATAGGAGACCTACACTTCCTTCCATAAAGAAGTTCATATGGTGCCATCTGAATGCTAGCTTGATAGCTATTATTATATGCAAACTCGGCCAAAGGCAGATAATCTTCCCACGATCCTTTCATTTTCAGAACACAACATCTCAACATATCTTCTAGAGTTTGAATTGTCCGTTCTGATTGACCATCTGTCTGTGGATGATAAGCTGAGCTAAAATTTAGTTTAGTCTGCAGAGCTCTATGCACACTTTTCCAGTATTCTGATGTGAACCGAGGGTCTCGGTCAGAAACTATTGATATTGGTACACCATGTAACCTTACTATCTCATTAATGTACATTTTAGTCAGCTTTTCTAATGAAAATTTCATATTGATAGGTAAAAAGTGTGCTGACTTTGTCAACCGGTCAACAATTACCCATATTGCATCATTCTTTCTCAAAGATTTTGGAAGGCCAGTGACAAAATCCATGGTGATCTTTTCCCATTTCCACATTGGTATGTCCAAGTTATGGACTAATCCAGCTGGTCTTTGGTTCTCAGCTTTTACTTGTTGGCAAGTGAAACACTCTGCAACATAGGTGGCAATTTCCTTCTTCATATTATTCCACCAATATATTTCCTTTAGGTCTTTATACATTTTTGTTGATCAAGGATGCAAAGTATACAGAGAGTGATGTGCCTCTTTTAAAATCTTTTTCTTTATCTCTGGTATGTTAAGCACACAAACTCTAGTTCCAAACCTCAATGATCCATCCTTATGTATCTTAAATTCTCTTCGAGTGCCTTCTTCCACATCTTTCTTTATCTTCAACCGTTGAGGATCATTCTGCTGGTTTGCTTTAATTTCATCAAGCAAAGAGGGTTGTATTACCATATTTTCTAATTTAATTCCAATTTGGTGGACTCTAATTTCAATTCCAGTACGATCCAAGTCCTCTAATATTTTTCTTCCAATTTGGTGGACTCTAATTTCAATTCCAGTACGATCCAAGTCCTCTAATATTTTTCTTTGAGAAGTAATTAAGCATGCTAAATTGCATGAATTCTTGCGGCTCAAGGCATCAGCAACAACATTTGCCTTGTCGAGATGATAATTGATGGTCATATCATAATCTTTCAGAAACTCCAACCATCTTCTTTGCCATAAATTCAACTCCTTCTGGGTAAATATATATTTTAAACTCTTGTGGTCAGTGTATATTTCACAATGTACTCCATATAAATAATGTCTCCAAATTTTGAGAGCAAACACCACTGCCGCTAACTCAAGAACATGAGTGAGATAGTTTTATTCATAAGGCTTTAACTGCCTTGAAGCATATTCTATGACTTTTCCATTTTGCATAAGTACACATCCCAGTCCTCTTCTAGAGGCATCACTATAGATAGCAAAGCCTGTGTCTCCACTGGGTAATGTAAGTATTGGAGCAGACACTAATCGACTTTTTAGCTCTTGAAAGCTTTTCTCACATTAGTAAGACGAGTTAGAGGTGAAGCAATACGGGAGAATCCTTCCACAAATTTTCTATAGTAGCCAGCCATACCAAGAAAGCTACGTATCTCCGTCACCGTAGTCGGTTTATCCCATTTAACAATAGATTTTACCTTCTCAGGGTCCACAGAAATCCCTTCCTTAGAGATTACATGCCCAAGAAATGCTACTTCCTCCAACCAGAATTCACATTTCTTAAGTTTCGCATAGAGTTGTTCTCTCTTTAATGTGAGCAACACCTGTCTTAAGTGTTCTTCATGCTCCTCTTTACTTCTTGAGTATATCAGAATATCATCAATAAATACCACAACAAACTGATCCAAGAAAGGTTTAAATATCCTGTTCATAAGATCCATAAATGCTGCAGGTGTATTTGTGAGCCCGAATGGTAAAACTAAAAATTCATAATGAACATAGCGGGTTCGAAATGCAGTTTTTAGCACATCTTCTGGCTTGATTTTTAATTGATAGTAATCAGAACGGAGATCAATTTTGGAAAATACCTGAACTCCTTGTAGTTGATCAAACAGATCATCAATTCTTGGTAATGGATACTTGTTCCGAATGGTTACCTTATTCAATTCACGGAAGTCAATACACAATCTCATACTTCCATCTTTCTTCTTCACAAATAACACTGGTGCACCCCAGGGTGACACACTTGGCCGAATGAAGCCTTTATCTAAAAGTTTTTGCAGTTGCACTTTTAGCTCTCTCAATTCAGCAGGTGCCATTCTATAAGGAGCCTTAGAAATGAGACTCGTACCAGATACTAGCTCTATCTAGGGGCATTCCTGGAAGTTCATCTGGAAATACCTCTGGAAATTCTCGGACAATTGGTATTTCTTCCAAGCTTGGTTTTCCCTCATTAACCATCTCAACTGAAGCCAAATAACCCATACATCCACTCCTCAGCGCTCGATGTGCTTTAAGGGCTGAGATGATTTTTAAGGGTTGTTGAGACTTTCCGCCCTCAAAATAAAATTCGGGTTGGCCGGGAAATTTGAATACTACTTTCTTTTCTCGACATAAAATAGAAGCATGATTTAAGGATAACCAATCCATCCCCAATATGATATCGAAATCATGCATTTCTAGCATCATTAATTCTACGGGAAGTTCATTGTCGAGAATATAAATTTTACCCCTACAACCTTGATTTGATACTAATATGCTACCTCCAGGTATACTAACAAGCAATTCTTGTTGTAGGGTATCAAATGGTAATTTGTTTCTCTTAACAAACTGTGCAGCAATAAAGGAATGCGATGCACCAGAATCAAATAGTACTCGAGCAGGAACTGATGCAAAAGTTAGCGTACCTGTCACCACATCCTTGTTTGCTTCTGCCTTCTTCTCAGTCAAAGAATAAACTCGGGCCTTGGCTTGAGGATACCGATTCCCACCACTGGACTGGGCAGTCTGGAAAGTATTTCGAGATGATTGCTGTAGGGGACAATTTGCTATTTTGTGATCCTTCTGGCCACATCTCAAACAAGCTCCGGTATTTCTCCAATAATTTTTCGCTTCATGCCCCAGTTTGTGACAAACATCACATCTTAAAGTTTTCTGATTTGGAAATTGCTCCTCTCTGCGTCCAAAGTTTTGCTTTTTGTTTCTCCAATTCTTATTTCTTCCACCGCGATTATCCTGCCAGAACCGCTTCTTTGGGTAGGAGTTGCTCGTCTCATTCTTTGGCTTTGTATCAATTTCATTTTTCTCAATTAACAAGGCCTTCTTTAGGCACTTCTCCATATGTAGGGAGTTCAAATGCACTGACCGTCTTCCGAATGTCCGATCGAAGCCCTTCCTCGAAGCGACGAGCTCTATCTTCCTCGTTACCCAACAAGTGAATGGAAAATTTTGACAGATAAGTGAACTCTTCTTCATATTCAGCTACTGTCTTATCACCTTGCTCCAATTTTCGAAACTCCTGTTCTTTTTGTTTGCGAACAGTTGAAGGAAAACATTTTTCATAAAAAATCTTTTTAAACTCCACCCATGATAACTTGTATGCTTTCTCTCCCAACGTCCTGACCTGCATTTGCCACCACCCGTAAGCGCGGTCTTTTAACATGTATACTGCATAATCAACCTTCTCCTCTTCAGGGCATTTCATGTATGTGAAGATCTTCTCCATTTCTGTGATCCAATGCTCAGCAATCATGGGATCAGTTGTTCCCTCAAAATTGGGTGGAGATAGTTTCTTAAATTCTCCCATGCCACTTCTTAATTTTGGGTGCTCCTCATTTTGACCATTTGTCCGATTATGATCAATTTGATCTTGTTGTCTGGTGACTACAGTTGTCACCGCTTGCAGCAGATCCATTAACGCATTGTTATCTATTGGGTTCCCGGAAGTGGATGCACGGGAAATTCTAGATCTCATCATTTCACCAATTGTCTGATTTAGATCCCTATCTCCGTTAGGAGGGGTTTGCCCATTACCTGGAGCCATATCTTCCTATAAATAATAAAATATTTCAGTCAACTATTATACAAGGAAAATTCCTAAGTCAGTCACATATATGCAATTTAAATAATTAGGAACTCAAATATTTACTCAACATAATAACACCAATCAGTATTTGCAAACCAAAAGTATATTATTAATATTTAACTTTTTAGTTCATACACATATCTGAGTATATGGGTTTATATATACATATTTCCTACCAAAAATGTCCTATATTAACCAAAAGAGTAACTATGAAAACCCATATACTGATATTACAAAATTGCCCTATCAGTTATGCTCTATTTCCCTGAAGAAGAGGACCTGCTGGAACTAGACTTCTCCTCAGTTGGTTCAGTCTCCTCTGAGTCTTGGTTATCAACATAATTGGACATTGGATCTGGATCTATGCCGCTAGTCCCCCATCCTTCAAGGTCGAGCTCTGGACCAATGCCTAGGCTACTTGACTCACCCACAGAGGGGGCAAGTCTCTGGTCATCACTAGGAATCTGGGCTACAACAGACTCCATGTCGGAGGGGTCGGATGAAATCATAATGATTGAAGGCGATGACTCAACTGGGAGAACTTCTACCACGAGATCCTCAAGCTCAGACTCGGATGAATCTACCATAACAACTTCTACTGGTTCGACCTCCGGTGAGTCGGGGGTCATATGGTTAGCCATTATCACGTTCGGATCAGTTTCATCGGAAGTGTATCCCCAGTCTCTCAGGCTGGGTTCCCACGAGCTATCTACGGAAATCATAGGACTGGACAGGGTAGCTGACGAACTGGAAGATGAATTGGTTCCCGTCATCCTACAAAAGGGGAACCATCCATCAGCTTACTGAAGAAAAAAGACAAAGTAAAATAAACATCTAAGCACTCCTTAACAACCCTAAAAGGTTTTACTATAAATTATTTATATGCATACATATATATATATACGTATGTATACAGACATATATCACATAATTGATCCATACGCTAACACTCATCTAGCACATATACTCTATTATAGCGTGCCCTACAAGGTTTTTAACGTCGAAACCTAAGCTCTGATACCACCTTACTGTCACGCCCCGAAACTCTGCAGCAGAAATTCATAAAATACGGGGTACACGACAGCAGCGACCCGTGCACAAGACAAGTCTTATGCACGAGTCAAGCCTGGCAATTCATATCACATAGTTTATTTTCAAAATATTCATAATCCTACTGATGATAGAAATCAGAGCAACTATATATATATGATCGGTACTTACAACTCACCAGCTCACCGTTATAAGTATTTTTACAAAACAAAACAAACTGTGCTGAAGGTAACATCAAAAAGAAGAGGCTCTCCATATCACGCTTCTCAGCCAAAAGCTCAAACCAAAAGTCGGCTAATAGGACGCTACGCCGGATCTGAAAAAAATTTAAAAATAACGGAATGAGCTAGCGCTCAGTGAGAACATTTCCTACTAGAGTTCCTAGATAACTAACAAAATAGTAATAAGAATAATTCTCATAAATAACAAATTACAAAATTTGCATGAGAAATTCAAAGATAATAAACTACGATCCAAATATCGTAATATTGTCATTTTTAAGAAAGAATACAACAATTATATTTCCTTTCTCATGTGCAACCGAATAAACTGTGAAATTTCTTGGAATCAAACTCTTTTTGAATCAAGGTAAACATTAAGAAGAAAAGAACTACTAATTTGGGCAAAATCAGAGAATTGTTGTTTTCTCAATTTCACAGTCAAATTATCAGAATCTTATTTCTCGATGAGTTATTTCATGAACGTAAAAGTCAACCCATAGGCCACACTAAGGCTACGAATTTTAGCCTAGTAGCAAGGGAATGCGTAAACTGCATCAGATAACAGATAATTTCCGGGAACCGAATGCACCTAACACTGCCATAGGCTACCGGCCAAATACAGGTGGGCCAGAACAGATTTTAGAAGGGCCAATACAGAAGGGCCAAATAAAGGTGCATTCACCATATGGCAGGCAGAACCAATCCATAGTGGACTATTTGAGGGTTTGAAAACATCGAGATCACATGTCAAATGAGAAATACTTTGCATATCAGAATTTGCATATATTTCAAATGAAATTGACAAAGTAAAGCTACTCATTTTTAGTTAAAGCAGATTACAGATATTTACTTTTCCTTTTATCAGATACTAAACCACGGAAAATCTTTGAATCCGTTAAACTATTGAAATACGTTCCAATATTTCATCAAAAACTTTCAGATATAACAAAGTCCACAATTATTTGAAAAATTGCACGAGAGCCAAAGTTATTTTTCATATTTTACATAAAGATCAAATTAGCTTTTGATATATGGTACGAGGCTAACATCGTATTATAGGATAGACCATAACAAAAATAGGTCAAATCTTTATATACATGAAAAGACATATTATTTATTTATTTATTTTTATCACAAGATAATTCAAATATAAAACTCATGCAATTTCATATTATAAAATACTAGTGAGAAATGAACTCACCTCTAGTGGTCACGACTTTCTCAAAATATTAGTCTCCCGAATATCAACCAGAACCTATAATATAAGATATATGACTAATTATTGATTCAGAAAAAACATATATTATAGGTAAATCAATTCAAAATCTGGAGCCTAATAATTTCAAATATAATCAATAATGATTAAATTCTACAGTACATATGAGCATTTTGTTAGTTTTAGCAAAATTTTATAACTCTCATATACTAGCTTCTGGACTTTTTAATAATTTATAATAATGCAGGGGCTTAATAAATTTTTTCCAGTCCTTTTTTCAAACTATAAGGTTTGTTTCAAAAAGAATTTTATGGTTCAGGGGCTAATTGTAAATTTTCCTTTCCTCTATCAAAACTCCAGACTCCAGATCATTCTTCCTCCTTCTTCCTTCTTCGTTTCTTTTTCTCCTCTCTTTTTTTTCCCTTTTTTTCGGTTTCCCCCTTTCGGTTTTCCTCTCCTCTCATCTCTCTCTCTCTCTCTCTCTCTCTCTCTTCCCCTCTCTTTCTCTCCGCCATGGCTGCAGGACGGCGACGAGGAAACCGTCGGCGACCCAAAACCGGCCGACAACGAGAAACCCCCCTCCCAAAAACAAGGTTAGCTTATTATTATTATTATTATTATTATTATTATTATTTTTAGTTTATTTCATGCCTCCTAAACATAGAAATTTGCAAACCCTAGATTCTTTATTTCACATTCATAACAATTTAATTTCCCTTATTCATTTTATTTTGATTGATTTACTAAGATTTCTATAACACTTTACTCTTCTAAAACAAGAAATTAACATAGAAAAGGGTTTATACCTTTGGGTCACTTGAAAATTAGATGAAATCCTCTGTTTTCTTGTTCACTGTCTTCTTCCTCTTCTTTTTCTTCTTTTATTTCTTTTCACAATTTTAATTTGGGTTCTCAGAGGGTTGGGTTGAAGAAGGTGAGGTGATATTTCTCTGTGTTGTTTTTTTTTTCCTGTGATTTTTCTTTGATTTTCTCTGTTTTTCTCTGTTTTTATTCTCCCGTTAAGAGGTGCCGGCCAAACAAACGAATGAAATTTAGCCACAAAATCATTAACGTGGCACTTAGTCAGGGGTTAGGGTAAAATCCCTAAAATACCCTTAATTAATTCCTAATCTGTAAAAAAAAAAATCTCTATTAATTAAGTTTTTTTAAGGCACTAAATATCTGGGTTACTACATTGATAGTAGTATATTTTAACCATGTAGAGAGTAAATTACAAACGAAATAATTTTTGAGTCAACATTGAACTTTTGCAATTGCAGTAACAAGATTATGTTTTTAAATCAAATCAAGAACCAAAATAAATCCCCTCTTATTTTGAATTGCCTTAACTAAGAATTAAGAAGAGGAGGTGATATTGTTGGCATCTCTAATCTGTTGTAGTTGAGTGAGGAACATTTCAAGACTTGATCTTTCTCGCCTTTTTCTGCTTCCCAATTGTGTTTGTTAAAGTCACGACGTATCGAGTGTTAGGTGATATCTGAAGAATTTTATGTAAGTTTATTTGTCAAGATAGACATGGAAGTTCTTAAGATATTATTACTAGGTAAACTCCCTCCCTAGGAGAAGTTCTGCTAGGCGAAGTTCATGTAATTTTGCAACTGATGCTTCTGTGCTTCTGTTTCTTATATGTGATCATTATTTCACCATTTGGAAGATGAAGTTTGTTTTTTGCGTTGTATGTTATTGCTAATTTCCTTATGAGTTTTTGCTAATATGTTCTATTTTGGAATATTTGAAGGAATGTGTAAAGAGGAGGGCTCTGAAGTCGGTGAGAAATAATCCTTACTGCTCAGAAGCAGCTGCAAAGGATGCCATTGAATCCGTGTGGGATATCTGTTACAATGATACTTACCCTTTTGACAGAGCTCCATAAACCTTGGCTTGGTAATCCTCTGCTGATTTGAAGATAGGGGCCTTATTTTTTCTCCAATGAAGACAAGTTAAAGGCATTTTAATGGTGTAGAGTAGAATCAATTTATTGGATCTCTACACATACCATGCTCTTACCAAGCAATGCTATAATTGTTCATCAAGATATGTAAGCACCTGCAATATCTTTATTTCCGAGCATATCTAAGAACGATGATGCTTGGTTGGTGGGAAAAAAAAATATTGTTTTTCGATATTGTCAATGGATATTATCGGACAATAAATTGGATTTTATTTTTGAGGAAGTGATGAATATTTTTGTAGTAATCAATAGTATAATTTTTCTTGTATCAAGCGGACTGTTCTTTTTGTAGGTCTGTCTCTATCTCATCTCTCCGAGCATCCTGGATGAAGAATAATGTTTGTGGTTTGTTAAACCTGTTGCTTTCTTAGTGAACGTGGTAAACAGATGCTCGTCGTGAATCCTAGGTTTATTATTTCCAGTTTTTGCGCAAAATCTTACTGCAAAACGTTGCCGCATTAGTGGCAATATATAAATCTGCAGGTCACAAACATGGCATAGATTATGTTTTAGAGTATTGTGACAAAATTTTGCTACAGAATAAACGTGTTGTTTAAGCACCTGGGTTTCTCTAGAGCTTTGAACAGTTTAGCTATAAAGAGATCGCTCTATCTACGGTTATTTCACCATTTTTTTTTAAATTGCGCCCCTTGGTACACTGAAATATATAAATAACTACCTTTGATATGCGGCCATCTGCTTCAGTAAATTCTAATAGCAGTAGCAGCACTACTTTTTAGAACTTCCTATTAGGAGAAATGAAGCCATCAGAATAAATAATATATTTTACATGAAAATCACATTAACTTTTATCTAAATCAATATTTATTACTTTCACTTATTTTTTTTTTATCAAAACCATCTGTATTTATTTAAATGTCACACTTTTAAGCATTTTCTATTTAAAAAAAAATTGAAATTCATGTTAAACTCTCCAGTCTAACTTGAGAGGGGGAAGGAGAGGAGGAAAGGAGGTGAGGATGGAAGAGCAGAAGGGGAAAGAGGGATGGATGTAGAGGGGGCCATTGGTGGAGGGGGAGGAGAGAAGGTGGAGGAGATGGCGGAGAAGGACGTCGTGGAGGGCAAGAGGAGAAGGGATGAGGTGAAGGAGGACAGGGAGGAGGAGAGGGAGGGAAGGGAGAAGGTGGAGCAGGAGGAGGAGCCGGGGGGATAAAATCAGTATTTCTGAATATTTTCAGCTGAATACTTGTTAATGTGTGATATTACAAATACAAAAGCAAATATAGATAGTTTTGATAAATAAATAAATAAATGTGATAAGCATCAATTTAGATAAAAGTTAAGGAGACACATCTCATGTAAAAAGCATACCTTATAAAGTACAAGTACCACCAAGAATTTAATATAAGGAGGTTTTAAGTTTGGAATAAAATTTTGAATTATTCATTAAAATGCAACTCGCATCCCCTCACAATTACTGCTGCTTCAACTCCAATGCAGAGTTGGAAGAATTTAGATCATCTAAATGAGGAATGGATGAAATTCATGAGAAATATGGTGAATGCGATATTTAGAATGAATCATAACCGTTCACTAGATAAATAAATAACTATAAATAAGATAGTGGTCTCTGCACTACTTTGTTAGTAGTGGAGAGGTTCCAAATTTAAGATTTAATTCAATATAATAGATAAGCAATTTCATAATCTAGCAATCATTATGTCAATAGAAATATTATTCTTCTAAAGAACAATGCCACATAATATTTCTGTTCCGTATCTTTTCAAATTTAGGTCCACCAAGCATTTCTTGATCCATATTTATTCTACTACTGCTCATCGAATTAACCTTAATTAAACATGCAGTTCCATTTTGGAGAATGCTGGTCACGTGCTAGTTTGGTAGCACAATCATTCTACCTAGGTAACAAAAAATCTTTTTGTCCAGTCTTAAGAAACCTTAAATAATTGATCTCCAAATTCTCTTGAACTTATCTTTACATCCTACTAATTATGAGGTCTATGACCTATAGAAACAAGCTTAGTAAATTTTATCTATCGTACATTTTGTTGTCTAAAAGTTATCTATTTTTGAATCTTATTTAGTACTGAACACTTCATGAAAACTTCAAAGTTATAACGTATGTTATTTTTATTATAACATATTCTGTGTAGATTGAATGCTCTTTTTATAGATTGAAAATTTGAAATTAGCTACCTCTGTAGTATTATTATTTTCTCAAAGCTGTTCTAAATCGATACATGTCTTATGTGATTTGACCCTGAGTATTTTTTTTATATTAATTGTCTTAAAGACTTTCTCTCTAGATAGAACTACTAAATTATATAAGCTATTATGTATTATAATTTTACACTCTGAAAAATACTAGATATATGACAACATATGGAATGCATTTGTTCTTCTTAGACTATCAGGTGTCCAATAAATAGTGAGGACTCAGAGCATTTTTATCTACTTTATAGTTCTTCAAACTTTTCACTAAAAAACTCAGAGCGTTCTGAATATATCTTTCAAAGTGTTCACAGAAAGTCACAAAGCATACAGCTCAGGTACTAAAGTACTCAGGCTGTCATGTGCAGTGTTCTGATAGTGGAGCTCACATGAGACAAAATATTCTGGAAGATTTCCCGACTAATTTATAATTTGTATAAAGGCCATTAAAGGAGATTAATGTAATGGAATCTTCTTCCCTGGGGAAGTGAGGCTTAGAGACCCCCTAAGCATGCTGAGGGGAACACAATGCAACTAAAACTATAAAAACTTGAGCACTTGACCGTATGTCTCTTTTCTTTGACTCTTGTATTTCAATTTAATTAGGGAGGGAGAGTGTTAAGGAGAGCAAGAGAGATTATGGGCATCCTGAGAATGCATCCTCCCCTGGTGGTGATTGTGATGATATTGAGCCTCTTCATTTTACATCAGCAACAAGTACATGGTAAGTATATATACACGTAGTTTTATGTATATGTATGTATACATGTATCTGAAAGGTTGGTGTATCTGCAGGAGTTCGACCGCAGGATCAACGGACAGCAATGAGAGGAAGGTACGATGCGACGCAGAAAGGGAAGGCAGGGTGGTGGTTGTCAGCGGATTATGCTGGCGTGAGGAGGAGGAGACCGGTACACAATAGTTTTGATCCATGAGCATGTTGATTTTGGGACCTAGTGATCTTAGAATGAGAATGTAGTAGAGGGAAAGATGAAGTTGTAGAGTACCTGGGGGGCCGTACCTTGTTCTTTTTGTCTTGTTTTAGTTTAGTAAGTTACTGGAGCAAATGTAAGTTTGTCGCAACTTCAGTTTTCAACTAAAGATTCATGCTTCTTCATTAAATTGTTTTTGGTTTGAGTTCAGTTTATCATTTTATATTAATGCTCGTTATATAATACTACCGATGTGGATGTCCAAGGGTAAATATTTATTCGCGATGACTTTGTTCATTCCGTTAATTTCAATTACGTCAAATATGTCTGTTGCTCATCATATATGTGATAAACTTTGGTAGAATATTTACTCAAGTTTTAAATTTTTTTTCCTTTTTTTTGTAGAGACAAAAAATAAACAAGATAAAAAAAATCATAATGCATCTATAAGAAATTGTAGAAAAAAATGGAGGTTTTTTTTCCTTTTTTTTTTGCATTTTGCTACATTTTTTTGGCAAATAATAAGTTTATTCACCTATACAAAACAATTGAAATATAAATCCGGTTACATTTTTTTTACTTCTACAGCTCTATTTCCTATCGTTTTCTTATATTTTCTCTTTGCAATATCTCAAGTATCATATACGTGCCAAAAGTGCCTAGCCAATCTAGAGCACAGTTGGATATTGTAAATTTATCATAACAATCTTTATTCATAAAATTGAAATTCAGGATATCAACCATTATATTTCAGCTAGCTTTAAAAATTCACGATATCAACCATTATATTTCAGCTAGCTTTGACCGGTATGTCTCTACAAGTGCATTTACAATAAAGCACATATCCATTATTTCTGTCAGCTACCTTCCTTGGCCCAAAATTTTGCCCTTTACTAGGGCTAGCTTTAGAGGGGCTCTCAAAGACGTTAGCATATATTCATAGTTTCCTTTCCACTTTCACCATGTATAGGTTTATTTATTTATTTAGAAAAGAATGCATAGGTTTATACTCCTACCTCCATCTTGTCTTGTCTAGTTAATAAAGCTTCTTTTGTCTTCTCAGACAAATTACTTTTGGGTTTTGTCTCTTCTAAAATTTCATCCAAGGATAAACTTTACGTAAAGAGAAATGAAGTTGTACGTTAATGGCAAAGTAGGGAAGAAAGAAACCTGAAATTGAATGTATGCATGGATTTGATTTTGTTGAGTGTATGCTTGTCGATATAACATATTCCAGTTCTAGTTTTAAGCATCTTATTTCAAATTAAAAATTCATAGTTAGAGATATTTTAATAATGATCTTCTACAGATATATATAGTTTGAAAATTATTAGGAAATTCTTTTTTTGATATAAAAGCAATGGATGATCCCTGTTCATTAAAAACCAAAAGGAGTACAAAGCTGTTTAATTACAAGCAAAAACACGGATACGAACTGTATCTGTTCATTAAAAACCAAAAGGAGTACAAAGCTGTTTAATTACAAGCAAAAACACGGATACGAACTGTATCCTTGTATTAGTAGATAGAAAAAGTACAAAGCTGTTTAATTACAAGCAAAAACACGGATACGAACTGTATCCTTGTATTAGTAGATAGAAAAAGGAATTTCTTCTAATTAGTGACGTATAACCTTCTTCTTCTAAATATCCGTGAAGATGAGGAGTGAGCCTTGTCGTCACTCATCGTTGACACATATATAGGGAAGAACCAAAGCCAACCATACGTATAATTAGAGAAATTGGATTTTCTATAGACTAGTAATAATCAAAAAACATACATTAAGAAGTATCTGTAAGAGATTTGTACATAGAAGCAAAAACATAACCAACTTCTAGAAAAGAAAAAACTCATCCTTCACTGCTCCTTGGAATGAGGTTTGCTTCAAGCATTGCCGAGATCTTATTTGTTTTCTTTCCAGTTTTATAACCTGTCCAATCATATAAATCAGTAATTGCAAAGTTAATGATTGAATGATGGGAGAAATTAACATGTTCAAAGAGATATTTGTTTCTTGCAATCCACAAACTCCAGCATATTGAAGAGAAAATAGTACGCCACATGTAGCCTATATTACTTTGTAGTCCTTCCAAAATCTGCAAGAGATCATCAAAAGCTGAAGGCCATGGGAATGGAAGAGAAAATTTTTTGAAGTGTCTCCAGACCTTTG